AAATATTCTTTTCTAAGCAAAAAATTTTAATCGTCTCCCAGAACTTTCTAGTCATTCGGAAATAGCGATCGAACTATGCTTTCGATTCAACTAATTAAGGAACGCGGTCGTTTAGCAATCGAAAAGCTTTATCTGGATAGGAAACGATGACCGCCGATCGTGATATCGCGTCTCCTATACCTCTTAGAAAAAAACCGCGTAAAAACGACAGGACAGACATAAAGGCGACATAACTGTGTTCAAAACCACGCACTAATACGCAACGAGTGGCTCGTGCAACCATTACATCGAACTCGATATTACCTCGGCGATGCAATGTATGCCCAGGGTAATTTCCACGGTTACGCGAGTGGGTTTGTTTTGGCTGGGGTAATATCGCCCTTCTGCGTACTCTTGCTCTCCTATCCCAACGAGGGGTTTTCTCTCGTATTCGCCAGCCATGCTTTTTGTCCCCGCGGCCATCCCCCGCAGAAAGGAGAGGCGCCGAGACAACGCGCTCGTGAAAAATGTATTCGCCACGAATCGAACCCTCACCGCTAAAAACCGCTAACCTCCCGACGAAAAAGTTATTACGCAGACAAAACACGCTGTCGGGTGGACTTTGTTTGAGCGGCTCTTCCCTTCGTGTGTGATGGGGTGCTTTTTCAAAAACGTCATCTCCAAACAAGTAGAGTGCCAGAAGGATAAAGAGACGCGAAACAGCAACGATTTGGAGAAAATACTGTGAGTGTACTACGTACATTAAAAAGCGACCGCTCTATGTTTCTTTTCATACTTATATGAAGTAACATGACCTCGGTTCTACGAAATAGATTATTTCTAATTATGTATGTAAGGTCAAATTGTATTAACTGTACTATGATAATTTTCGCTCTATTAATGCAATTTCTTTCACATAAAAAAAAGAAAAAACAAATTGATGTTTTCATATGGTCTAGCAATAAAAACGGACTTATTATTTGCGAAATTAAACTGCTTTTTTAATAGAACGACTTTGACGATTATTCGTTGCTTTTTATTGGTTTACAAACCGGACTATTTCTCCAAATGATAGCAACTCACCGCGTGATTGTTAACCTATTCAATTAGATCTGCAAATCCTCTTTGATTCGAATTGCATAGCCACCGATTTCTTCGGGCCATAAACGTTTTGACGATTGCATCAAGCGTGCACATGCCAATCATTGCTAATTGCTGACATCGTTATGCTCGAATATTCGAAAAGTTAACGGAGAAACAAAAATATAGAAGAGATAAAACACAAACTAGAATAGCTATTTGTTTACGGATGAGCAGATTTCTATTGTTGCATTGACATCTAGCAATTAGCAATATGATTAATGTAACCACTAAAGTCATTATAACTTCGACGAGTTCAAATATTCGTGTGCCAAGGACTGATAAATGATATACGTTTATCTGTGAAAATATGAACAATCTAGCCGAAAAGCACAGTGACATATATAAATTACATCTTCCACATTTCGATAAAGAGCAAAAAAATTTTTTTTAAAGAATTTTATGTACAGAACACAGACACTTTTCGTATACATGAAAGGAAAAAAATGTAAATTTACTTCACGCGACAAAATAATTAACCCTTTGTTCCCAGTGAGTTGTCGAGTAACTCGACGAATTTTTACATTTTCACCTTTATAACAGCCTGCAATGGAAAGTCTTTACCACATAGAAAATTAGTCTTGAGCATCGTTGAAAAAAGAAGAAACTTTCCGATTATAGTTTGTATAAATCAGTTGGTATAAATATAGCATTGTATAATATATTTTTTATAGAGAATAAAATCAAAAATATATTTTTGAAAATTAATTATATTAAAGTTAACAACGACAATTTTATTCTCGAGGATTATGTCGGACTACAAAGATTAAATGAATGTACAGATTATTATCAAGTAATCGATAATTCGATACAGATTGCACGCAAAGTGACAAATGATACGATTTTTTCGTTATTCTTGGGATCAGTAAAGATATATGTTCCGTATCACGCTTAATAATTGATAGCAATCTCCAGCATTCGATATTCTCGAGGGGGACGTACGTTATCGTCGATTAATTGGGAGACCACGTCAGGGGTTTCGAGGAGTTATTAATTGGACTATTATTAATTCAGCATGTTCCTCGCGAGTTCTCTCTCGAACTCTCGATACGAGAGGCCGCAGATAGTTACCTACAGTAGTTAGTATATTCAATTATAGTTTATTATTAAAATAGTACACTTTATTTACTATTCTATGATAAGAAAAAAATAGGTTAAATACCATTTAACCTATTTTTTTCTTATCATAAAATTCGTCTTTATATAATGTCTCTTTTTATCTTTTTTCATGTAATGTCTTATAGCTGACATTTTCTTTTATATATTCCTCATTTGAAAAATTAATAAACTTATTAAAGTAAATTTATCAAACTGAAAAAATTAAAATATTTCATTATACTTTTTATTATGATTATAAATAAAGAAAAAAACTAAAAATAAGATTAAAATATGCAAATTATGTTTTATATTAAATGTTACATTGTTGCACGAAAATGTGACGGAATAATGGAATTTTATTTCATGGCATTTTAATCCAAATTGTTTTATATTAAATAGTATTATTGCATATCACATACTTTTATTCAAGAAATAATTTCTACACATATAAAGATTTTATTATTTTTAATAAATTAATCGTAGCGTTAAAAAATCGAAAAATATAAGTATTACTAAAAATGTTTTATATTGTTTGCTATTGTTTTATCAGAGCATCATAGCAAGCTGAGTTGAGAAATAACATTTACCTAACGTGCTACCCAGTTTGCGTCTACCTTATTGATTTACCTCTCCATCCGCATCCCGAATAGAATCAACGCTACCGTCGTGGGGATTTTACAAAATAATTACCGAAACATGATTAGAAGCTATCGCTCGACGCACGACATTTAATTAGACAATAATTAACGCTTGCTCCAATTTCAAAGTCCTCAGCACAGGTAAGCAGATAAAGCTGTTGAAGTATATCATCAATACAACGACCTCAGCAAAATGAATATGAAAAGAAAGAGTATTATTTCTTTATTCATTCGATTATTTTATGTGAAAATTAAGAATATTATTAGTATCTCAAGAAAAAGATATACGTTAAAAAAGCGTAACTATGTATATATTTTGGAATTTTATAAAAATAATTATTGTCAAATAAAAAAATGATATAATTGTTCTTGGTAACATAATTCAATAAAACTGTCTATTTTTTTTTTTGGTCTACCGAATAAAATTTGAATGAGTCGAAAAGTCGAAAGATTAAAATGAATATCGCCCAAAAAGTAAAGCAACTAGATTATGAATTCTTTTGATATCTATTCGATACACACTTCTTTGATATCCACACAAAATAAAAGATTTGTTGCTTTTTGTCTACGCTTACGGCTATTATAACTTTTATTAATCAAAAGAAAATCGATATATTATTAATTCATCTGGAAAGCGAACACTATGATAAACTCCATTAAGAACGAATGACCGATATTAGCAGAAACGTGAATAAAAATGTCCTAAAATGCTCGTTAACAGAATATGTAGCTTCCTTTTATTAGCATTGTATTTCAATTAATGTTAGTTAAATACAAAATAATCGAAAGGTTAATCGAAAGCTTAATGTATTTAAGTAAATTTTAGTTAAATACAAAATAATCTATTCACACGCTTGCAAAATGCCGTTTTTCTGCAGTTAATTAAGTGCAGGAGTTCGTCGTTCCAAAAATTCCAGCGAAAAATAAAAACAAGTTGGAGACTAAAGGGCAAACGGAGAAAAACGGCGGAGTGTTGCCCGGCAAAGCACCATAAAGTCTCATTGGCTTTAATTCGGTCGTACCCCGCTGGCCACTGGGGGTGATTAATCGTAACGTTACTGCAACACAAAAGCACCTTACCACCAATCATTCCCTACGATGTTTAGAAAGAAAGTCGACAATGTTGCTTAATGCGTTCTCACCTAATTGGTTATATTTGTCTTACCAGAAAAAATTATAAATCGAATATTTTATAAAACGCACGCTTAAAACTTATTTTTAAAATAAAAAAAATAATTAGTTATTAAAAATATTCTAATATATTAAATTATATATTATGTATTTCTTTCAAGAAATTCTTATCAGTCGAAAAAGATTCTCAGTCTAATTCTGGGTAACTATTACAAATATCTATATTCCCATTTATTAAAATTCATCGTAAAGGAAAGGAAGAGCTTTCGGTTTATGGCGATGAAAAATTCAGTTACTTTTAAAAGGAAAGGAAGAAGGTCGGTCAATGTTTAATCTTTAAATAGAACAGGATGTACATTCTTATGCCTCCCGTTGTATCTCTTATTAAATCTTGGAAGTTCTTAAAACCTGTCCTTAATTTTTTATCAAGTCCACTTCAAATTGTTGAAAGGATCTGTAGATGAAAGTGCACCCGAACCATTTCTGTATATAAAAATTACGATGTTTCTTATTAGCTTAAAGCACAAATACAGTAATGTTTATCTTTAAAAAACTGCATTTAATTAAGTTAATTCGATTCCGATTTCCGACAAGAGTTATATGTACATATCTATATCTGAAAACGGGACAAATATGTGAAAGAGTAAAACATATAAAATAATTCTTATCATTTATAAAATCAGAAAAGCTTCGAGCTTTATATATTTATACTGCAATAAATATGACAAATATTCGGAAATGAAGTGCTCCTCTTAAATCCGCTCACCGGTGTTTAAAAGCGAAAAGTGTATTATCATCCCTCGAACATAATCCACATACCATGCGCATGCAGGTCAAGTGAAACGAAATGAAACGTTTATGAATTCTCGAAGAGCACGTTTATTTCCCTTCATGAATATGCATGTTCCTCAATATTTTGCGGTACAGAAAACCGGTGACATATATATGTTCTTTTTTTATTCAACCGGTATCGAACTTCTGATTGAAAGCGTCCTCGCTATGTTGCTGTTTCAGCTGCGCGAGTACACCCTGACCGAATCGTATCACGAAGACGAAATCGAGGTGGAATTCGTCAGCAATGACAATCTGCAAGCGAACAGCGAGGCTCCTAGAGGAATCGATCCGAACAGGGACCTAAACGAAGCCATAGCCGAAGAACGAAGGGAAATGGACACTCAGAGATACAGGTACGTTTTCTCCACTCCAACCTTTTTCATTTTGTTTTTCCTTTTGCCCGGACGAACTTTTTACTTCGTTTTTTGTGAACTTCCAGCAATAAAAAGTCGCGCTTTTTACCGCGTATTTGGCAAGTGGACTTCAAAATCAAAGAATTACCCTTTTCTCCTTTGTTTTACATGCCCGCATTTTGAATTCCGTTATCAAATTGATTCAAATTTGAATGGGTTAATCAAATCAGTTGAGAAATATTAAAGAGAAAATTAACTAAAAATTTAGTTACACGGAAAAAAACAGTGGTTAATCTACACAGAAATCTGGTGATACCAGATTAAATAATAAAATATGGAGCAACTATCTATTTATGTGGCTGCTTGAATCACAGTACAATGGTTGAATGACTTATGTTGCAGCAATGACGGCGTTTCACATATACATATTTTTAATTGTAAGCGTGGTGAGTCGCTTTTATTTTTTGAAATTGCAACTTAATTTAGCATGATGTAACAAGAAATTAATTCTTATTAATAATTTAATTCTTATTATTATACATCATGCTTTATAATGTCGATTGACGCAACTATACGGATATATAACTTATCCATAGTAAATGATCCCCCAACCAAGTTTTGTTTGTCGCAACCAGATCGCGCCTAACTACATTGATGTAATTGACACAAAGTAAATAAATCGTATCAACCAACTATACACATTTCTATCACATAAAGATAACTAGAATGAGTTTCTATATTGCTCACAACTATAAATATTTTTAGTGTGTGTGTTATGTGAATTATATCTTTTTTTTCCGTGTAGTTATCTTTATTGAAACGTAGAATATTGACGTCATGTATATTAATGAAAAATCTATATAGTACAGTGGATATGAAATAATTGGATATAAAACATCTGGATATGAAATAATTCCAAATAAAAGAAAGAAAAAGACAGAAAAAGAAGAAAAACGCAGTCACTAAATAAATAATTTTCATTTCCAAAGCGTTTTTATTAATTCAATAGATGCCACTCGCAATAATCTTACAATAAATGATGTAGTAGCTCTCTCGTATTTCTTTTCTTCTCGTATCTTCTTAAAACACTCTTGTTCGACACGGGATATAAACGAAAATACTATCTCATAAACCTATGGTTCATAAGTCCGAATGAAAATTCCAAAGTTCGAATCAGTTTGTTAAGCCCAGCTACCTAATACTTTCTCTTCAAGTTTTAATTCCTTCGAGATGTCACCTGGAGGCGAAGCTTTTAAGCTCGAAGATATAAAATAGATAGTAAACGTCTCCTCGATGATGAGAGAAGGTCGCATAGTAACAAGTATATATTCAACAGACGCATTTGTGTCAAGCGTGTTCCATCTTAGAGAAATTACGATCATACGACACGTCTATATATCGGCACCGAATTTTGAAAATGACATTACCGCCCAAAAGCTATTCTGTCGCATATTATTATCTTTTTTCTTGAAGAAAAGAAAGCAAATATCTACGTAGAAAATTATAAACTTTCATGACAAAATGATATTTAATCAATTTTCTTGTAACAAGATTGCGTACTGCTGTTAGATAGTTATCGAGAGTAAATTTATGCGAGCATATAATAAAAATATTATAATATTCCAGAAGAGAGAAAAAGGTTCATACTTGGGATAATGATAGTATTGATTATTATAAGGCTCTTTTAAACACTTATTCGATTTTAAATCATTTGTGAAATGTAAAATCTGATATGAAAGGAAAATAAAATAAATTACAGTGATAATATTTTGAATGCTAAAAAATAACATACGTTCTAAAAATTGTAATAAATTTTCGAGAATTCCAACCATGCATTTTGCAATTTAGTTACAACACACAGTCCACAGAAACTTTTTCATTGCAATGACCAATACTGTCACTTAACAAAGTATTGACCTTTCCTCTCGGGACGCTCTTACTTTCCTCTCACTTCATGAAAGGTCCTGTGACTAGATCCGTCCAGCCTTTCACCACTCTCTTTTATAACACGAACTCGGATCGTTCTTCTGTGCCTTCCAGCAGTGCCCCTTCATGCCCTTACGAGATTTCTCGTCTGTCCCTCTAACATGCACCTTCTCGCTCCATTTCTCTCTTTAACTTTTACGATGGAGAACTCGAGCGGAGGGTTGCATGAAGATCGCGAATCTTCTTCTCACGATGTCGTCCTTACTCGACACTCGGAAAAATCGTCAGACTTACTCCGTGACATTTGACAATTCCGTATGACATTTACGCGATAATAGAACGAAAATGTCCTGATACGCCTTTAGAAGAAAACTCATCCGTTGAAAACACGACTTTCCACTTTCTCCATATCGCCCCGACAACATCTTTCAAGTCTCTTCAATTAGCCCTAATAAAATTACCTACATTTTATTCCTCATACGCACGGCGAAGTGCAAACTGTGAATTACTGTTAACACCGTTCGCCCCAATTGCACAGGAATAAAAGTTTAAAAAGAATTTATAGGTAAGTTTTAAAACCACTTTCTTACGTAGAAATAAAATGTTTGTGTAGAAATAAAATTTTCAAATCTCCGAAATAAAATCTCTCATTTAAGAGATCGTAAAATAACAAATGATTATATTAATATTATCGATTCAAGATAAAATTTATATGACTAAATGGCTTGACAGTTCAATTTAACAATGTACGTAGTTTAATAATAAACACTATACCATTTTAATTAAAATAAAATTATAATTAACCTAATTGTATATATATATATATAACAATTATAATTAGCACTTCCTTCAAAATTCTTATAAAAATTTAAAATCAAATTTCCAAAATAGAACTAGTTATATGTATATAAATAACTGTAACTTTTATATGTGTATAATCATTTTTCGTCATATTTCTTTTATAGGAAAGCAATTGATGTATATAAAATAAAAAATATAATTTACGCTTCAAAAAGGAAAAGTTAATTGATGTCACAGAATGTATATTGTACGCGACGAAAGTAATATTCTCTTTCGTTTTGTTTATTAATATTGAACGGAAAAGCCAACCGAAGTCACCCCCGAGCTATAAATGCAATTTATCGCGAAACGCTAGTCAGATTGGATATGATGCAACCGACATTGATTATCAATAACGATATTACGCATCTGCAGAAGTCGTATAATCTTCGTCGGTTTGTGCTAATTCAAACACAAATTTATTACTTCATTATGATATTACGTATACCTATATAATGACGTCTTATTATAGTTGTACTCGCAAATGTATCCGTATTATAGAGAAATGCCCTATTAGATTCGACTTCATAACCATTCATCGACTATCACCGAGACAACTTCCATCGGACTTTTATCATAATTAAAATAAATTATCGGAAATTATAAGAAAATATTTTCAATAATTTAATTAATGCAATCAAGAAATTAATATTCACATATATGACATAAATAATCTAGTATTGGGTATATATTCTGACCCCTCTGTACAAGAGATTTCACAATCATGTATACAATTAGTATATGTATATATTCGTACTAGTTTATTCTGAGGGTTAATGATAGTTGAAATTCTAATATGAAATCTTAATACGAAAACATTGAGGTCATGATAATTTTCGAGTTATAAACGATCAAAGTTAGCTAATGATATCACGTATAGAGTTTGCAAGTGAGGTCCATAACTGCTCTTACAGACATATGATTTACCACTTTATAAATTCATCATTCATTTCTACAACTCAGAAGACTTTGTTTTTTTACATTCTTATATTATGTATTCTATAGCAATCACATGATTGATAACTTATTAAGTAAATTTTAACTGTGTTACACAGATAACTTATTTAAAAACCTATAGTGTCACAATAAACTTTTTTCCTACTCTTTCCACATTTTGTAAAATAAATTGACGAATCTGTATATAAATATTTCAAGTGATATAAAACCAAATTAACAATAGATGAATAAACTAAACGAGATTATAATTAACAATTTTCCTCTGCTCTATAAATATTAATTTATTTTTAATTTATAAATACCAATTTATTTTTATAATACGAACTATACCTAAACATTTTATTTCGATCTTTATCAGCCAGATAGAGAACATCACGAAAAAATTTGAATAAAAACTTTACACTTTAATAATGTCATTACATTTTATTTGTTATAATTCTATTTTATCAGTTTCTTTTTTCTTTGTTATTAATACCTACAGAATTAATGTCTAAAAAAATAAAATCAATTCAAATAAACAGTAAAAATTACTAAATGTGTACCTAATTATGTAAATTCTCTGATAATTTATTACAATCAATATATGTTTAAATGTAATTATGAATTTAAATTGACTTAAATTTAAGTTCAATACAAATAATTAATAATAAGCCAACTTTGATCGCGCTCTTACAATTTGAAAATTAAAATAACCTCGATGCTTTCGTATTTGAATTTTATAGTTTTGATTCATCATTCATCGATACGATGCATAAGGGCGGAATTGTATCACGATGATTACGTTGAACTGAAAAGTACAAATTATAGCAATGCCCAAAATAATAAAATAATCTTTAAAAGCAATCGCATTACGCGCATATAAAGTAATTACAAATGATTAATTAACTTCGAATAAGAAAGATATTTTTGTAAAATGCAGTGATAAATTTCTGTAAAACGTAATAAAAGTGCGCAACGTAATATGTGATTATTCCTCACGTTTAAAGCACAATTGAAGAAGTTTTCGTCGTAAACAACGTTTCCAATCAGCATAAAACTCCAATCTAACATTTGCATGTATTCAAGCCATTATTTACGTGTGTGATGTTATATATATTTTTATATAATTTATTTTTCTCTTTATTTCTCTATACACACACACACACTAGTTAAATTTTTAAAACTCAAACGTGCAATAAAAGCTTCTCAACAGCCAAATGGCTTTTTCACATTGCATCCGGAGCAGTCGAACGCATACACGTACATTGACATTCGAAGGCTGATTACGATATTACTTT